GAGAGGAGAATTGCCGCGGCGCATTGCCCGACTAATATCGATTGCCGTTTGCCACCGGGGACGTTAATTACCGCGTTATTAAAAACGACGAGAGTGGATCAAGTAGCACGTACATATACGTACACATATGTACATTTTTCTTAATCCGAAGCCCCGCGCAACAAGGAGAGAACGCGCGGCACGCGATATCTATTTTTACAAAACGAAACGCGCGTGAGAACTCGCGGTGACATGCACTTTCCTCCTCGAGCGCTGCGTCGCGTTCCATCTTGATAAAGTTTATATATTCGCGTTTGTATACTTGCGTCAGTCGGCATTTATATTCGCGTACAAGAAAGAGAGAGAGAGAGAGAGGGAGAGTAAAGGTATATATCGCGATAATTCGTGCATTTGCCGTGCACCTCCTTCTCTCTCTCTCTGTGACGAGCGTGTTGCGATATAAATCACGAGGAAGGCGTCTTCGGCGAAAACGGGCGAAGCGCGCGCTCACACACAGAGGGAAGTTGGTTTCACACGAGTGAATCGAGAAAGACCCGCTTCCTCCCTGTTTACATTTCAAAGTTCCTCAATTTGGAATTGCACAAGGCGCGAGACGTAGACGTTCTCGCGAGATTTGTAGGTACAAAGTTTCCTCTGTTCTTTTCGCGACAGTTCGGTTCAGAACAATTACCGAAAACAAAAAAAAAAAAAAGAAGAAAAATCGGCAAACGTAAAGCGAAATGTTATTGTTGTGCGTTAAAAATATCCGTCAGAAACAAAATTCGCGAAATACACAGCGCGCTGCGATACACGATTTCGAAGCTTTGATCGAAATTCGCGCGCAAAACTCGCATGCGAGAGCGTCACGGGAATATAAATCAATTTCGACTTTCAGATCGTCGCTCTGTATTTCGCGTTCGTATATATCCGCGCATCGTAACTCGATATAACGAGATTTTCGTGACCGGAAAGTCGATTTGTGAAACGATAATTTCGAATGGAGGGAATAAGCGCGCGCGCGCGCGCGCGTCGAAAAGAGATGCTTTGTTTGGGGGGAGAGCTAGGATTTCAAAGCGGCGGGTGGATTCGCGTGGATTTTCCGGCGGCGAAATATACGCGCGCAATATTGCCGTATCGGCGATGTTTTCGGAAACGTGTCATCGGAATATGACGGCCGGGATTGTCGCGGCGCGCTATTTTTATCGTCGTCGACCCCTGAACGTTAATCAGCGTCGACATTAAGCTCCCGACGGTTCAACGTTTCACATTTCGGCGTTCACTTCAGGCGACGAGTGTCAAAGGACACTCGCTAATTCGGAGTTTGACGCGCTTATGCTAATCCGTTTTATTAAGCGCGAACTGTGTGCTAACGGGATATTTGCGGTATATATATATATAAATTGTCGAAAACGATATCTCGTACGTGTCTAACGCAATGCATATATATATATATATATATTGGCTAATCCACAGTATTTATTTGGAGCTAATTACAATATTGTGAAAACAATAAAGAGCAGCGGGTATTCGCGAGAGACAACGCGACTTAAAACGGGAACAAAAGAGAGGAAAGAGACGATGTATGTGTTGGGTAAAGAAAATAATTTTGAGGGAGTGTAGCCGATAAAAAAGAGAGCGCAAGACAAAAAATTCAGTAAAGTGGACGTATCGCTTCGATTCGACGTTACTATGTGTTCGTGATATCACGAGCGCTTTTTAAAGTGGAGAACGTGGTTGCGTGTTATATTATCGCGAAATATGCGACTTTGATAGCCTTTTCATTCAACCAACGTGGTTTGCGTTACTCATAAGGAAGCGTCCGAGCAAAACGTTTTTTTTGCGCGAACGTTTTTGGAAATTAATTTACGCGATAAAAAAAAAAAAATTGAAGAGCGCGACGATTGAACACACGATTGAAAAGAAAATTAAGAATTTTACAAAGTAATTTTAAGCAACTTGAGCAAAATATATGTGTTAAAAAATACAGTTTGCATTACGTATGCGCGCTAAGCGTATATAAGTGTGTGTATCGAAATGTGTTTCTCTTTTAAATATAATCCGGAAGAGAGAATGAAGCAATTTAAAAAAAAAAAAAAAAAAATATTCTTGTAAGAAGAAGTCGGGGAACACAGAAAAATCGAAAATCTCTCTGCGGGGAATTGCGAGGAATTTTCGCGCGCCGAATCTGCGCGGGGCTTTTATGTAAGTATATATATATCTATAACTAGAGCGTTGTATTTAATTACCTTTAAGCCGATTAATTAACGAGTCCAAAAATGCGCACGACTGACTGATTGTTAAGTATCGTTCTTGAAACACTTGCTGGGATATCGGTTTTTTTTTCTTTCTCGCGATTCCATCGCGATGTGTCGTCGAGAAACGTGTTCGTGTTTGCGCGACCGTCGTCGTTGAAAATGAAACAGCAAAATCGTCGATACGACCGCGCATCGTCGCCGATGCTCGTCGTATATCGAACACATGTGTGTTACATATATTTAGAAACAAATATACGATACGTACTTTTCGATTAAATTTCGAAGAAATACACATGTCACGTACGTTTTAGAGCCAAGGCTCTAACATGCGCAGATGTCTCGATAATTGAACCGTCTGAATTAATGAAAACGTTGGAAAGCAATCTGTGTAAAGGGATATCAGAATACGCTACACGACGTCTATCGGTGTTCTGCAAATTCGAACGGAAACTTTATCGGAAGCGAGCGTGATAAAGGTTTTAACAAGAGAGAAAGAGAGAGAGAGAGAGAGAGAGAGAGCAAACAAACTCTCACCGTATAAATTATAAACAAGAAACACACCCGGCTATGCTGCGAGGGTCCCGTTCACCCTCGGGTGGGAAGGGTATAATAATTGAGAGCAACTCTCGTCGTTACTTTTCAACTGCTCGTTCTTTCTCAACTCGTAAATGACATCGTCACTTTTCGACTTTCATTTACTTCCCGATGTAATATTTCTAATAAATTGTACTTTTTTGTTTTCTATGTGAACCTCGCGCAATCATGTTTGTTGATTACAAAACCACGTGTTTACGTACTAAATGAAAATCAGTCGAACGTAAAAGAATTAACATATTAACAAATTGATTCAATATAATATTGCAGAGAGAAAGAGAGAGAGAGGAAGAGAGGGAGAGAAAAAATTATATTTTCTTGAAAACGAGAGATATACATATGCAATATTGAAAAAAAAGACGCGTTTGGGAAAAAGAGACGAAAAGTTTGACAAGATAATTGTAAACGATAATTTTTCCGTCCATCTATAGAGAAACGCGCGCTGCTTTAACGAGGACGGCTGCAATGCGGACGATCACGTCCCGGCGAAATTGCACCGTTGTTCTCGACCGTATCCTTTTTATCGACTTCTCCGCCATCGGAGGATATCCCAGCAAAGTGTCGCACATCAAGATACGACAACAAGAACTACAATTGCCGCGTACAATAGCCCTTGCATCTTGGCGTCTTCGTTCCGGACGATGTTTTACCCCAATAACAATAGTCAAGATGTTTTGTCAGTCGGTCATTTTTTTGTAATTCGCGCTCGATACGTGAATCATTTTGATCAGATGACTTGAAAGATTTTCTAATTTTGTTTTTTTTTTAAATATAACATTTTTTTTCTTATTTCCCAAACAATGCGTTCAATATCGCAAAAGGTATTTCGAGTCATAAAAAATACAAATAACGATCGCAATATTCTTGATATCTCAAAGTTATTTTCTCTTGTACTTGTAGTGCGCACTCAACCGTATAAAAAATATTTTACGGTTAGGTTACTATGAAAAACTGTACGTTAAACATACCGAGTGCGCTCTTTTTTTGATGTAGATAGAAAATCTCAACAACAATTCAATTTCAGTAACTATTTCATTACAAAATACCGAGCGAGACAAATACCTATACATATATATTTGCGATTATCATAATAATAATAATAATAATAATAATCAAAAACACATTTGATTATCCGTGCGAAATGACATAAAAAAAAAAAAAAAACCAACCCGTAATAAACGATAAAACAGCGGCGAGTCTCTTAATCGTGATTACGTACATTTTGTAATTACGTCTAATTATTCCGCAGTATAGCGCGCGGGCGCGGTACACGCGACCGAAGTCGCGATGAACGCGTGTTCGCGTGACCGCTTTCGAACGGATAAAAATCGACAGTCGGCGGAAAGATGCGATCAAAGATGCAAGGGGTGTGTCGCGTGCGCGAATTTTATCCGATAGATTTTTTATTAGGTTTAGAGCGCGCGCTGATTTTGTGCGCCGGGTACACACGCGGAATCCCAGAGAGAGAAACCGGTGCCGGGTAAAAAAAAAAAAAAACCACCGGTGGTGTACCACATGTACTGCATCATGTTCGCGCGTACCTGCGCACCGACGAATACATTGCGGACCATAATAGCCTAGCGATTAGGCGATTTCACAAGTGGATGTTATATATCTGTACCTGTACACGTAAGAAGTTAAAAAAAAAAAACAAAAAAAAAACAAACAAAAAAGAAGAAGAAGAAAAGTAACAATTGCGGATACCGCGGGCCGCTGATAACCGGCCGAGATTTTTCTTGTCTCTTTCCATGAATGTACTTATCGTACTCGTACCAATGTCCCGACCATAGCAATTATACTTAATGTAATATCGATTAAGCACGAAGGAACACAAACAAGGAAAAACATGGCGTCTGTTATTCCGTTTATCTTCTCTCGCTCGGAGGGCAGCGATTTCCAGAGTCTCGTCGTCTTTATTTGCCGGAAATAGGAAAACAAAAAGAAAAGAGAAACGTATTCGTGTTCGCGAATCACCGATGCGAAAATCTCTCACGAATTTCTCGTCCGCAAGTAACTTCGCGTTTTCTCTTTCTCTCTTTCTCTTTCTCTCTCTTCGCAAAAACTAATTTGCACAAATATTTATCGTAGCGCTTGCTCCCCTTATTCGACGCGAGATTCGACAATCAAATTTCTTTTCCGCGAACACACATTCGGCTTCTTGCGTATCTTTTTGGGCGGGAAAATATATCGTTCTTTGGAAGACGCTGCCTTTAAGGATGGCTTTTGAGAAACGCGCGAAAAAGAAAACTATGTGTGTGTGTGTGTGTGTGTCGCGCGACGATGCCCCGGAAAATTTTTCCGAGGATCGATTAAATGCGCGCAAACCCCCGTCCCTTGTGTGTCATTCTTCTCGCGTTTGCGTGTGATACACTTTCCGGGAAGACGATTCGTGGACATGTTGCTCTGCGTCGTGTGTTAACGATAAATATGATTAACACATCGAGTGTGTGATGTGAAACAAAACGAATTTTACCAAAAGCCGTCGAACAAAATTCGCGATCAATTGCGCGCGCGCGCGCGCGCGCAGACAAAAATGAAAAAAGAAGAAAAAAGATCAGCCGAAAAATTGCGCGCGTTAATAATAATTACAATTGCGATAGATATTGATCGCGACATATTTCCGTATATTTCCGTTCAATCTTTGACGTTCAACACGTTAGTCTGTACGACATTTATTATTGTTACACGTAATGATAATATTGTAAAAGAGCAATTTGCACTTGAAAGAGAAAATCAAAAGTAGTGAGATAAATATTGATCTATATAGCGGTAGATAAGTACGAGGAGAAAACAGGAGATAATTTGGTTAAAAAGTTATAGAATTCGAATGAAGGGGGAAAAAAAACAAAAATTGTAATACTAAACGTTTCTATTAATTAACGTTTATTAACGTTTCTATTAACTAAGAAAGTTTTTAGCTGCTTGAAATTCAATATCCTCACGGTAATTTATTCATTATCGTCACTGAGAAAATTCTTAGATAAGTTAACGTTTCCTGCGCTCCTTCGCACGTATATATCCTGTATCTATTTTAGATATAAACTTTCTAGAGAACTTACCGCGATGTCTTCTTTCGCTCTCTCTCTCTCTCTTTCTCTCTCTCTCTCTCGTATATATATTCGGTCGAGATGTCCACGAATCGGAGACATCTGCGGAAAAACTTCGGTTGCGAAGACACCTCTCTTCTGTCGTTCGCCTCTTCTTGTTTTTTAACGCCGAAATCGAATTTGAAGCCTGTAATGAACGCATGCACTCATAGAGAATTGTTAAACGAAGAGGCGATTATTCTATGCGATATAGAAGTTTAAATTAAAAAAAAAAAAAAAAAAAAAAAAAAAAAAAAATACAAGTTATTCTCCGAAAAAAAAAAATATATAAAAATATACATATATATATATATTACTAAATATATATTTGAGGGAAACATGAAAAGTTCAATTTTTTCGGACACCAAGTGGAGAACGTNTGCGAAGACACCTCTCTTCTGTCGTTCGCCTCTTCTTGTTTTTTAACGCCGAAATCGAATTTGAAGCCTGTAATGAACGCATGCACTCATAGAGAGTTGTTAAACGAAGATGCGATTATTTCATGCAATTTAGTAGTTTATATTATGAAAAAAAAAAAAAAAAAAAAAAAAAAAAAATACAAGTTATTCTCCGACGCACTTGCATATATAAAAATATACATATATATATATATTACTAAATATATATTTGAGGGAAACATGAAAAGTTCAATTTTTTCGGACACCAAGTGGAGAACGTCCACGCGTGATTCCATTGACGACGTGAAATAATTCAACGTGTTAGTTTCTTACGATGTTTTTATCTCGTGTATTAGATATTTATATATAATATACGTACGTATACACATAAAAAAAAATATATATATATATATATATACATATACATCTCGTATATCGTCAGCACTCGCCAGAAAAACAAAGGCAAGGGTGCACACACGCAAAAAAACACACGCGCACATCACACACAATAAAATACACATTTCCACACAAACGAGCTACAAGTCCTCCTCCCCGTGTAGCATGTAATAACGTGACGTATTTATCTATGAATGAATTTTTGTCATTTTACTAAAAGAATCGTATTTGCCGTATATAATTAATATAAAAAAAAAAGAAACAAAAAAACAATCAACTTATTAATTGTAACGTCGCATGTAACATCCATCTCCCGCGCTTGATGTTTTATTTCACGAGATACCAGATACTTTTTCAGATTATCACGATCCAGTAAAAAAAAAAGAAAAAAAAAAGAAAAAAAAAAGTGTAAGTGTAAAGTGTAATCAATAAAGAATTTTGCCTAACACTTTTGAGAGAGCGTTTGTGTGTCACAAAAATATCAATTGTGAACATCCCTGTGTGTGCGACCTCCTAAACGCTTAACCGGTCGTATAAAAAAAAAAAAAACGGTTCGTCGAGCCGAGCTCATCGACCGGAAGCCTATCAATTGGCTATTATTTTTAATGTTTTTATGAACGCTTTTGAGCATTAAAATTTTAAATTGAAGCACATCTCGCACGTGAAATTAAACTTGCTAAAAAACATTTTGTGAAAATGTAAAAAAAAATACAGTTTAGTTAAAAATTTTGCACAAACAAATCGGAAAATAATGATTGATGACAAGTGTATTAGTTTAAATTAAATAATAATGAGATCTCGCGTTGAGTGCGTCAAACTTTATTATTCCGTAATTGTTGATTGTGTGATTATCAGTTTAGCGATACGACGTGTCACATTAAACCGAACGAAACAATTGTAACAAGGACTAGCATTCAGATTATGGCGGTGACACAACCGGACGAATAACGTAAATCAACATGATTAGTGTAATTAAAATTGATCCTCGTGCCACAATTAGTTACTTTACGAAATTGCGCGTATAACGAAATTACGCGTGGTATGTAATGATTGTTTTTTTTTTTTTTTCATATGTAATCGCGTTTAACATTTGCATAATAAATTTTGTTTAGAATAAATTTGTTTCATACTGCAGTTTTATCTCGACGTTGAAATTCTCGTTGAAATTGTCGCAATTTCTACAGAGTAATTTTATATTGTCGCTACAATTGCATTTTTCAAAGTTAAAGAAAACAACTTTCAATTGTTTCTTACGAGATAAAACTGCAAGAGAAATTATTCGGAAAAACGCGAGAACACAGAAATGAGACGGCAACAAGAGGTTCGAAATGAGCCAGAGTGAACAAGGGATCTAAAAGAAGTCAAAACTCCATCGGGTGTTCTACCATCGAACAATTATCTCCTTCGTTATGTGTTTAATATGTAATATATTCATAAACTTACGAGTAAAGGGTGAAAATATAATCGCAGGGGCGAAGAAATTTGTTAATTTAAGCGCGCGCTCGAAATCACTTCTCGCCGGGAAAGAGCGACGTGAACGCAGTCGCGAATCAACTCTCAAACATGTTACCGACGGCCGGTGGCAGATGGCGGCACTCGACGCTACAACGGCGGCCAATCGCACTATGTATACATAAAACGCACGCATTATTGCGTGTATGTGTGTGCGCGCGCGCGCAATGATTTATAAATAAAAATATACAGAGATAGGTGGTTGTAATCAAGTGCACGCACAAACACGCTTGTCATTACGGGGTCCAAATCCACTATGTAAATTGCATCGGTGTCCTCTAAATGACGCGCTGTTGTTGCTCGTAACGGTAAGTTGTTAGACGCTCGCGCGAGAGCGGCGAATAATTTTCTTAACGCGGCTCAGCTGATTTGATTCTCGCGTTAATGTAACCCTGTTCGGAATTCATTTTTTGCTTCCAGATGTTTTGTACAAAATATGGAAGGAGACATTGTACCTCGTCGTTGTTCGATGTGCTTTCGAAAGTGGTCTGTTCTCGTCGCGTCAATCGGAGCACCAGCTCCTATAAAGTTATCGAGACCAATGGCGACTTAGACGGTAAGTACAAAACTCCGATCGACTGACAAAATTAGCAGTTTGCGAACTCGCGAAGCGAATTCCTTTTTTTTCGAAGTGTCAATGTGTATTAAAAATCATTTGTGTCATAAGTTGGTTAAGTTAACTCGGATGTTTTGTTTGTTTGGATTTGTGGTTAGGAAGCGATTGCTCAAAAAGTTTGTCGTACATATTGCGGATATATTTTCACGAAATTATATCAGATATGTCAGCAAATAAAAGATTAAGTAATTTTAATTTTTGCTAAAAAAAAAAAAACAGTTATTCTAGTAAATGTCGTTTTTTTTATTGCAAATTAAAGAAATCTGAGTAATGTTTGAATCAAGCATTGAGATTGTACATGCAATAAATTATTTAATCTCACATTTGTTATCAATAAAAAAGCAGATATTGACAACAGTGTTTTGAGTAACTCCAACTGGGAGCTGTTAACACCGAGAGGTTTTCGATTTTATCTTCCTGGAAGAGTGGGACTCGCTTGGTTGGACGCTGCGACTACTGCCCAAGTGAAGACTCAGTTTGTCGAGCTCGCCGGCGAACAGGAATTCATAGATGCTCTGAACGACAAAACTCAATATCAGAAGGATGCGGGATACTGGAACGAGCTGAGGCCAATGATGAACTGTGTGGTACAGGAGTGTCCGATTCTTCTGCGAAAGAGCATAAGGGAACTGTTCCCGGGATGCTTGGACGGGATAGCTTCCTCAAATCTTACTATTATAACTCTCAATCAGAAAGCAAATCTCAAGGTAATGAGATGGCACAAGGAAGCAGAAACTGAGAAACTTGCCAAATGTGTGAGTTACACGCGTTCTTTGTTTGAATTGATGTTATAGCATTTGCGCAGAATCAAGAAGATGATAGTTGATACGGCAAGGAGAACAAGCAGAGACATACATATATACTGTTAATCCGTTAGTTTGTTCTAGCAGCTTCGGAGATATGCTCGAAACTGAAAATGATCGGTTACTGGGCGGATTTCATCAATCCCTTCAGCGGACAGCCCTACATGAATCCGCGTAAAGGCAATCTGTACGAAACGGACGAACGATTTCGCTGCGTAGGATTTAAAATAGAACAAAGAAACAATTGCAGAATCATCGTTTCTGATAATAATCTAAACAATTTTATTGGTACGTAAATAACCATGTGCACAATATATAATAATGGATAACGATAAGATAACGATCGGTCGCGGTAATCCAGGTTTACAATGGATAGATCTTGAGCTTTTTTTGGAATAATTTTTGCGCTCTGCGCCGCGGGCACACATTTCCGGATGATTTTTTCACATTATTCCAATTTTCTTCTCTACAATTTCAGGAAGCCTTTATACGACGGCTCCGGCCAACACTGAGTTTTTAAAACAACTAATACACATTGATAACGAGGACTAATAAACATTATACGTATGTAAATAACATAAAAAGTGTTCAGTTCACTCACAGAATAGATCTATCTGTAATTGTAAAATTATTCATGCGTATATATATATATATGTATAAAAGTATAAACAATTGAAAGAGAGAGAGATATATATATATAGTAAATCAGACTCGCCAAACAACACAAGCGTAAATATTTCTCCGATTGTGCGAATGTCTCCGTTTTGCCACAGGTAGACTTTTATCTTTTCTATTTATATATATATCTGTAAATGACAATCGATCGTTTGTCTATAATAAAAACGATTGTTTTACGTTGTGTAATCGAGCGGGCTGTGTAACTTTCAGAGAACTTTCTTGCGTTCAGAGAAACTTGATCTTTTTCAATAGTCTCTCCATGCATAAACTATTTTTTTTTTATTCCTGTTACATTTATGTACACATAAATTCACAAAACTGCTCATATAAAAAAAACTGCTAATGTCTATCTATTTGTCGTTGTTCTTTCTTTAAGCTAACGAGGACGTGTCGTCTGTGAAATTATATTGTCGCAAGGTTTTGTGTGTGCAGTTCGCACACAACGAATGCGGCGCGAACCGCATCTGGTGCGGTACCGTATCTATTTCCCTATATCGTATACATATCGTCGTGTTGAGACAATCGACTTAGATCGCAATCACATTTAGTATTTTTAGTGCCATAGTACACCGCAATACAGACTGCAATAGTGATTCGCTATCGACATCACAATTCACGAACTAAAGAAATCAAAGATTTAACTCTACAAAGTAGTCGATAGACGTTATAACTGTGCGATTCACAAGTGCGGACGTAAGAATAAAACAAATATTTACCAGGCATTCCAAGAGTTTCGCAAAAAAAAAACCCGTTTGGAAACTCCACAAGCACAAACGTGCGAACACTTCGCGCAAAAATTGTTTAACACCTTTTTTACCTTAATAATTTTGTCTTTTTAACGCGCGAATATGTAAGATATCTGTTAATTAAAATAATTATAATCGCTTCGTTGGTATAAGAACGACGCGATTAAATTGTCAACAATGACTTACAAGATCATAGGTAACTTGGTACCACCGGCGGAGCAGATATATCGGCTATTGAGCCTTAATTATTCTCTAACGCGTAATATTTTACCAGTTTAACTAATAATTAACGCTACAAGTTTATAATTTATATTCACGTTTTTTCTCGAGGTATTTAAATTACGCAAATCTCATGCGTTTTAATCTTGCATTAAAAAATTAGAATTCACGAGAGATTCAATTAGACAGCAAAAACAAGCTATAAAATCTTAGAACGAGGATTTATATTTCTAACGTTTAACATATTTGCGACATAATATTTTTATCGCGAGATAACAACGCTCCTGGGCACGTGGGCCTTTTTATTTTCTACGATTTAATATGAAAAGAAAAAAACCTGACTATTTTGCTGTAAAAACAAACACCTAATTTAATATTTGGCAAAATAAAACAAAAATTAAGTGCGCGATGTAAAAAATTGCAAGATTGCAACGTATAAACAGGAGATTTCAATCAACCTCCAACTTTCGGAACGAACCGCATATTCCGCCGAACTCCTCCTCGTTGCCAGCCGCGTGGCAATCCTTCGGCGAGATCTCGATGTACATGTCGTCGAGAGCCAAGAGTTCATTTCTTTTCTGCTTGAGTTCCTTCTTGAACTCGGCTGCAAAATAAATATGTATACGCACATCGCGAGAAAATAGTACGGCACTAAATAACAAATATAGACAATTATGCGTCTTGTAAAAAGAAGCACGAATGTAAAGTGCTAATATTTAAAATGAGGTTTTGACGTTTTTATATTAAAAAAAAAAACTGATTATATAATGCGAGATGATAATCTGTTTTTTCCTTTTTTCAGTTTATTCACGTTCTCTTTTTCAACTAACGTTTAAATTTTGTTCCTTTCAGATGTGCTTTCTGTTTGATTTATTTTTGGAATATATTCGTTATAACGTGCGCGTCGTGTTCAAGACGAAAAAAAAACACGGCGCAATACGATAAATCGTCGAAAATGTTCGTTACCTATCATCTCGGACAGCGGCACCACTCCCCCGTATTCCTTCGGCAGTATATCCGCGCTTAGCGACTCCTTCAGCTCCTCTATGCTCGAGTGTATCTGCGCGAAGATCATGATGCGTGTGACTCGTCGAGTCGTGCTAATTGTTATTGAACGAATTAACCGAATAATTCACGATAATTCAATTTACCATAATGCGGGACTTGAGTTTGTCATTGAGCAACGAAATGGCGAATTCGAGAATCTTTCCCGCGGTGGCGGGAATGTTGATGAAGTGCGTCTCCTTGTGACGCATCGGCGTGCTGTTCTGTATGCATCTCAGTATGTTGCGAATGTCCGTGAAGGACCATGCGCTGAAGTGGCTCATGGTAAGTCCCGATTCGTCGTTGACGTACGTGTAACCGTAGATCTGATTCTTCTCGTCGTCCAACAGGGTTTCCGCGACCATGCTGTGAATTCGCGCCATGTATGTCGACGAGTATTTGCAGGGATCGAAACGTCCTTAAAAGCGGATAATCAGACAAACATATTTGTAGAATAATTTCATCTTTTTTTTTACTTCGAAGACTTGTATATATGTTCTCGCAATCGTTACCTGCGCAGGACATTAACACTTTACGACCGTGTCTGTCCCGTTTCGGCAGAGGCACCAGGTAGCCGCTGTCGATGATGGCCTCGAGTTCAGGATCATCGATGTCAAGCTTCTGGAACCATTCGGGATAAAGCTGTCTGATGGTGAGATAACGTTCCAGCATTTCTTGCGCCATCGGCAGACTGAACTTCTTCGTTCGGAGAAATCTCAAGAGAAACAACGAGTCGGTCCTGCATTTCTTAATCGCGGGATGCTTCTCGATCCAGTGGCGGAACTGCTTCAACGCCTGTTCCCGCGTGCTGTCGTCCTCGCGAAGCTCGAGTCTGGCCGTCTGCAGCGTCTCCGCGTCCAGCGTGGTCTTGTACTCGTCATGTTCCTGCTGTCCCTCCGTCACCATTGTCTGAAAGTAATTCGAGCTTGACATTCTATCCGAATGTGGGAACGGCGTTCGAATTTTGACATCATCGACCGGACGTTCCGTACGTCTTTTGAAAAATAATGTGCGTTTACGTGCGTCAAAAAGGCGTTACGTAAATGAAAAAATAAATTTTCCGGTCAAATTCGAATGTCATTGGACAAGTATTAGAAAAAAGTACTAGTTTTAAAGCGAAAAGATGAGAAAATTAAATCGTTAATCAACTTGTTCACGATCTGGAAGTCGCTAAATTAATGTTTAAAGAGAAAACATCGAGTTATAGAGAATCATAAAACACAGAGATATTAAAGCTCTTGGAATTCTATTAATGTAATGAACAGACACGTAATGGTAATTAAACTTTCGCGAAACGTTGAATTTATTTAATAACTTTTTGATGCACATCTCCGCGTTCGCATTTGCTCGGAACGCATAATATAATTAGAGGAACGTTTTCACGCCCAGCGTGAAAAAAAGTTAATTGAATTAATAATATTAAAGGTAATTTAATATTAATTTTTTCAAATTAACAGAAGTCTGAAAAAAGCGTTCCGTGTCGGAAAATTATATAAGACATTTTGCTACGCGTGAAAAAGTTATTCTACTAATTTAAAGTTATTCTATATTTACGGGCTTTTTTTTTCTAATTAGACTAGAACTTTGTAATCACGCGTGTATGACCCACGATGAGACAAACTGAAACAACTTGCAAAACGAAAGCGAGACATCGGGAGGAAGTAAGTATATACGAAGGGGCCTTACCGCTGCGCAACGAGAACACACACATTTCTCGAGACGCGCGCTATATACACCAGGCACGGACCCAACTTTCTATCCTATCGAAACACCCGAAGCACAATACCGTAAGTGGCGTAAGTAAATGACGAGTGCATTATTATGTCTGTATTTCAAGTATATCGAACAAGAGAGAGAGAGGGAGAAAGAGAAACAAAATTTCTCAATTTCCAAACGGTGATGAATTTTCTCATTTTATACTTTTTCTTATTTTGTTATAAATAAAAAATCGCGTGTATTTTTTTAAGATAAAATAATTACAAGTTTGTATGTTTATTTCTATTTTAGATATTGCGGTTTGCAATTTTTTCCTAGTAGATATTTATATAGTTTCGAAAATCTCTCCTACACCGACGGGAAGAAACAAATCACGCGCAAGTTGCAGATATCGCGCAAACTCTACGCTTAGCGTCGATCCACTTTTATCATTTGCGCTTGACAAACACTTTTTATATTAACGGAGATAATTTTATTCCCGAGAAAAAGTTTTCAAACATCATGCCTCATGGGAACAAGCCTTAATTTAATGAATCGATTAACCGATCAGTGTTACAGTTCCGGTTTCTTGCTCTCGGGCTTTCCGATCTCGCGCTTTCTCCTTTTACACGTTCTCTCTTCGCGTATATTTTCCGATCCCGTCTGAATCCGTACAAACGCAGAAATCTTTCTTTGTTAAAAAAAGAAAAAAGTATTTCTTGCGCGAATGTAATAAATGTTTTTTCTTCTTTTTTTAATTTAGAGCTATTTGCGATATCTGACAATTTAATTAATTTCAATTCTCATAGGAAGATTCTAAAAAAGTATTACCTTCACTTAAAAATTATTTGCTTAATACTTACTTTATCTCGGTTTGTTTTCTGTGTTCTTCTGTTTACACTTCTTCAGAAATAATCTTCAATCGTCGCTCGATCGAGTTCGAGAACTCATTCAAATATCGATCGGCTATCTCTTTCGGTTGATGTCACACATCAATGTTACCTGATCGATGTTGACGCACAAGAGGAATTCAACGGATGTTGGAAACTAACACGCGAAACTAACACCAGATTTAAAATGAGAAAAAGAGAGAGAGAGAGAGAGAGAAAGAGAGAGAGAGAGAGAGAGAGTTGTGGACTGTCGGACGATGCACATCGAAGTAACCCGGTTGCTTGCCGGCTGGTCAATTTAAGGAGGGATCGTCGAATGGCGGTGCTAACTCTCGCAGGACCTTCACCTACATCCCGTTGACGTTCTTCGTCTTTCGCTCACGCGACCGCATAAGTACAGCGTCGTGCATAACGCAAGTAATTTGAACATTAAACAGCTTAATTATAATGCGGCAGAAATGAAGAGTCAGATTAGCGCCGAGAAAAGGATCTCAATGAAAGACCTTCACAGGTAACATCTATACTTTGTTCGCGTTTTCTATTTATTTTGCCAATAAGAATATTTTTTAAATATAAATACTTTTGTTTTTGAAAAAAATATTTCTTGCAAGTGAACACTTTTTTTTATTTAGTTATTAGCGCAGACAATTAATCAACAACAAACGGTTCGAAAGAAATCGGAACCGATGTGTTAGATGCTTATGATTATTTTCTTCTTCAGTCAAAAAGTAAAACCAAAACTATATAGCAATCCGGTCAAATTCGTGTTTTACTTTCTTCTGTGATAAAAAAAAAAAAAAAAAAAAATTAAAGAAACACACCGTACAAGCGCGTCGTCCTCGAAAACGCCTCCGTCGCGACGCCGCTCTTCGCGAGATTCACTTTCTTCTCTCGTGTGATCTTCCATTTTGCTTTCACCGCTCATTCGAATGAGGATCATCGAGCGCTCCGATGAGTATCACGGTCATTTTTCGTCTCCCAACGCGATATGCCGTGTTGCTACTCGCGCGAGACCGCGATTAGTTTTTTTTTTTTTTTTTTATTATTCAACACTATAATCTACAAAAGATGTTTTGTCATTAGTCAATGTTTGCCGAAACACAAATTTCTGAGATCATTTTGAAACAAAAATTGCAATACATAATAATAGATTTTGAATTAAAATCGTTTAAAGATGGCGAATCGAGAAGAACTGTGTGCGCAAGTTGTAAAGGCGCGGATATACGTGTTGTGTATGTGCGCGATTTCCGTACATCAATAACATGCGCGTTACGTTCGCAAATGGTATTTTAAAAAAGTGATTTCAATGAAAGTTAGAATTAGTATCCCGTTTTTTTCCCAACATGTAAACATTTATAATCAAAAATATGATGTTATATAACAGCCTTTCATTTTAGGATCGTTTATCTCGTAAGAATCTGCCGATGCTGACAAAACGCAATCTGTCAGACCGTATTTAATTAACCGGTATTTAATTAACCGGCTCTCTAATAATTATATTCAGTTAATAATTATATTCAAAACCTGTCGTGACAAACATTCTCTATTCTCTCGAGATTCCAGTCTCGAACCCACACTCTTCGTATCTGTCGGACTGATTTTCTTTTTCCTTACGTTTTTCAAAAAATTAATAAATTATATATTCAGTTAGTAGGTCTCTCGAGATATAAACATCTTTTATTCCTTTAGGATTCCACGAACCGCGTCGAATTTTACGGGACAAACGGAAACGAATTATTAATATTCAGTTTGGTTTCTTTTTATGAATGTCTTTTGTGAAAATGTGTGAAAAGATAATTCCCGGTGTGTAACAAACCGCAGAAACGTCATGCGTCACTCAATACCCATAGACTTTAAGCCAAGATTATTTAGCAAGTACAAAGAGTGTTTTGAGAACACTTTTTAAAGAGCGACTTATCGCGTGAGCTTTAACAAATATCAAATAACAGATATCCTTCGACAAAACTTTTTCACAAATTTAGTTTCGAGACGCGATAAACCATAGAGATTTGTTTACATATTTATGAATTTCTTTCAAATATGTATACATATGTATGAGGTTGTATTCCGCTCGAACTATTCATGTTCATAAATTCAGAATTTTATTGATCGAAAAACCATCCGTCTGTTTCTTTTACGTGCGACTTGATATTACTTGCAATTGCAAAAAAATACATTTATATACGTTATATATATTTAAATATTTTAAACAAGATACGACGATTGTTAATCCGTAATTTTTTCGTCTTGGCGATAATTTCGAGACACGAAAATACATGACATCAACGCATTCGACATTTAATAAAGGTAATAACTGAAAGCTTACGTAAGGGTTTATTCTAAACACTGAACCGCAATTTAGCGCTTATAGAAAATGACGTATGCGCGTGAGAGAAAGAAAAAAACGCGGATGTGCGATTAGCGTTTCAACAATCGCGCGCATTCGAATGATTTTTATTTCCTTCTTTTGTTCCTTTTATATAAAATCGATTTGCAAGAGTAGAACCTAGAACAGAACAACGTGTATCGCATACCTTTCTCGTTACGACTACGTAAATTATTACGTAATCGTTGGCACAACGACGTTGTTTCTTGACGTCGGTGAAAGTCACGGCACGTGTTATATATTCATGTCCGTTTCCTCTCTTTTATTTTTTTTTCTTCTTTTCTCGTTTCTCTGATGTCAGAATCGATCGAAGAGAATCGCTCGTCTCTCTTTTTCGCGTCTCTTCGCGGCTTTACGAAATCGCACCGATGTGTGACGCGACTGGGAGATTGCAAAAGCCGCAAAGCGATGGCGGCGAGTAATTGGTGCGCGCTGCGTCGAGCATCTAAATAAATTAACGCGAAATGCGGACTTAGGTGCGACGTGTGAAGTGATTTCTGTTATTTTTTTCTTTTTTTTTTTTTTACCGCGAGCGGAAACCGCGATCGAATAATTGCGCTTGCTAAGAGAAATTATAATCTCTGAGTAATTATCGTTTGTGATAAATTTTTTGGTTTTGTTAAAATATATTCTACGTAAGTAAAATATAATTTTATTGCGCACACTTGGTAGATATCTTTTATGTCAAGCTGAGGAAAGTAGAAATTCTCAGCGGGGTTGTTTTATGACCGTAACTAATCGAAACTTCGAGGCCAATTATGTGTGTACAGAAACAAAGCTGATTTTTAAATTGGTGTACACGCGCGCGCACACACACACACACACATTTAAATGCGAGGGATACAATTTATTGCGCCTATCGTGCAAAACATGGGATAGAGAAAATTCGCGGCACGCGATATTCTTTTTCAGACACTCGCGGAGACAGAACCGGTGAAATTTCGCGATAATCTACGCGAATCGATCTCAATATATAAATATATAAAATGTGAATTACGCAAAAGAGAAATTTGACAATCTGAACAACAAGTGTTTTATGTGGTTTAACGTATAAATTAACAAGGGCTTTCTTTTTGCAACAAAAAAAAAATGCGGAAAATGACTCGAATCAAATTGGTCTTCGGTAAATATCCGAGAGAAATTGCGAAATTGAAATTTGTAACAACAAATCTGCATAGAATATATGAAAATGCAAAGGGACTTGTGAAATAGAAAATGTTCGCGCGGCGCGTCGGGTATAATTGTCGCTGGAAACACGTGGTCGTTCCATGAGTTCGAAAGTTTCGTGCCGCGCGGCGCCGTGAATACGTTCCGAGAACGTTTTCAGCACTTTCTCCGGCGACCCTAAAACCTTCAACGAGACTTCATTGAAATGAAAGTGCAACAACCTCGCGGTTCCGACCTCAACGAGATTTTAATTTTCCGAGATACCGGATGAGAGCGCGCGCGCGCGCGCGCACGGCGACGAATAAACGACATTTTCATCAGTGTGTTACCGGTAATTAGTAGAGAGCACAATTGAGATTATAAATTTTCAATTGTTTATCCATTATGTTCTTGACGCAATATTATAATTTGAACGTCGCAATAAAAACCAGAATTACGACTGTTATTAGTAGTAATTATAATTTATAAAAATCAAAACGTGCGTTTTTTTGTTCACTCGTTTGATTGGAACTTACGGACGTGGGCAATAATAATTCATCGTACGTGTAATTAAGAGACTCACACACGCACGCATTCGGGGTAAAAGTAAACAATGACATTCCGCGATGGAATGCGGTATAATTTCTTTTTTTTTTTTTTTTTTTTTTTTTGATATACATGTATATTTATTTATAAAATAAAAAGCAGTGTACACGCCTCTACCGATGCTACATCTATGTATACAATGTACAGATGCGCGCGAGCGCGCGACGCGCTCGCGTCAACGACCCGATTTATACTAATTAACGATATAAACAAAGATTTTAAGTAACAAAGCGCAACATTCGCGCGGACAATCTCTTGCGTTACACGTGACTTATTTGTCAGTATCATTTTGTGCGTGTATCTCTTCGTCGATTCGATTTTTTTTTTATCGTCGTGAACGAATGCGCATAAATGATTCTGACAAAAAAAGAAATAAGTAATCATGTTATTCAAATCAGCCGCACCAGTATCTATTAACGCGATACTGGAAAATTTTTTCGTTAATACGACTGATCGATCAATCGCTTGCACGCCTGCTTTGGCACTGTTTATAACGCGTCGATATAAAAACAAGATCTTTTTTTAACACACATTAAAATTCTATAAAAACTTATTTTATTTCGCCGAAGGTTTTAGAAAAACTATAACCTTGTGGAACAGATTAACAATGCAAATAGCAGTGGCGCTGCTAACAAGGATCATTATTGTTTTTTAATTTACACAGTTTTAACAAACACTAGAAAATGTCTGAAAATCCTATATTTTTTGCGACAAACAAGTAGGTTGCTTCGGACGCTTACGCGCTTTAAGCGTCACCCCAAATAAACTATTTAAACAATTGAACGACGATTTAATTTCGCATTAAATTCGATATTAAAACTCGATATTAAAAAACGTTTGCGGTAAGTTGTTCCTCGAGCCAAATTATTAAACGTTAAATTGTGATAATTGTAAAAAAAAAAAGTTGATGTTTGCTACGCAGCATTATTTTATTTTGTACGAGCGAATCAAAACTCATCGCGGCGAATTGCTTTGAATTCGGACGGGTGGAGTCTTCTTTCGAATGCACGGGAATCATCTGAGAATAACGTTGTCGAAGGTCAGATCTCGGTTCTCGCGTTGGGTGCCAGATTTTTTGAACGGGTTCCACGGGAGCCTCTTGACTACGTGCGCCGTAGTGACCGATCCCGCCGGGCTCGGCTGGCCGGAAGACACTCCAGAAGAGCTGCTCGCCGAAACGCTTCCCTTATCGTGGTGACTGTTGGGTTTTCCTGGTTTCTAAAATAATTAGTTTTTACCGTCGTACACTCACATTTGAGCGATATATGTGACGGAAAAGTATTTCCACCGCGATTCTCTACACGCGTTTCTATCAATAAAATAAAATGCGAGATATGGATAATGAAGATCGTTATTGTTTGAAATTGTTTGTTTTATGTAATTGAAAAAAAAAGCCATAAATTTTTATAGCCGTATATTTTTCTCAATGTTTTTGCGTTCGAGGAAATAGCCATAAATTTTTCTCAATGTTTTATGTTTTTTATATAGCAAACACGCCGCGTAATAAATTTTATTTTCGGACCGATATCGATTACGTGGATCTGTGGATATGCCGCTTATTATCGCTTTACCTTTAAATAATTCCTGTCCATCGGTGTAACTAATTTTAAATTTATAAAGTCGCCACACTGTTTTATCATCCTCACAACTTGATCGTGAGACGCCCATTTAACATCTTTGTCTCCGATGCCGACGATAAAGTCGCCTTCCTTCATACCGCCCACCTGAAACGAATCAATTTTTTTTTTTTTTTCATTTATTCGTTGTCACGTGATTAATTGTTAAGAAAATAAGAAAGAAAATTGATGACGATATAACACAAGTACAAATATGTCAAATTAAACACGCAATCGAAATATGAATCGTTAATATGTTCTTACATCGGCCAGCGAGTTGTGATCGACGGCGGCTATAATTACTGGAGCGTCGCCGCGCACGCTAAATCCAAATCCTTCCCCGTCAGGACCTCGTTGGAGTTGCACCAATCGCGGCGCGGTCCAGTGTCGTTTTGCCGAAAATATCGCCACAGGTCCCAACGATCTGAAAAGATCGTCCACTCCGTGCTGTCCGAAATCCGGATGCGTGATGCTGAGTTGAAATTTCGTGGACGCTGTAAGTAAAAACAAAGTAAAAAAAAACAGAAAATATCAAATTTATTAAAAGGCGTTTATTTAGTGAATTTTTTTTTTTTTATCAATAAAACACGACACTTGCGTCACACGTACCGATAATATCCGGCGGATCCAACAGTTCTCGAAAATCGTCCTCGTTACCGAATTTACTGTAGCTATCAAGCGTCGCTTCCTGCGTCTTCTTCAAAACTCTTCCCAACGCCTGTTTTCCCTTCAGATCGCGGCACATTCTCTGCAACCGTTGACTCTCGTCGTGCAAAACCAGAGCTTCTCTAAGATGCGCCCTGCCTGCAAATTATGAAAATTAATTTTATAATTGATTTTTCTCTTTTTAATATTGAGCAAGAGAGAGTGTGATCTCGTTCAACACATTACCTAGTAATTTTCTTTCATTGTCGTCTCTGGGAACAATTATGTCCAATTGAGTCTTTCCGTCGCTCTTCTGAATGTGTTCTAACGTCAGCCTTGTTTCCACGCGAAATTCAGCGATCGGTCTGTCCAGCAGACCAACCGCGATATGCTTGTGGGCAAGGGCGAGATGATGCTCGCGCTTCACCAGTATCAACGAGATCCAGGTCTCCGGAACGTAATCACGAACCGGCTCGCGCGATATCAATCCGTGAACGTCATTGTATATCGCCGCGACCTAAATTAAAATTTGTCTCTGTTGATTCACTTGGTACTTTATATCGCGCCATTTACTTGAAATCTCACGGGCAAGAGAAAAACAATTTACCTGAGCAGCTTCTTGAGCAAGATCCAAGCATACGTCGATGTTTCTTCCATCTCTCGATTGAAGTTCTAGTTTCTCGAAGAGACACTCCCTGGCTTGAGCCTGAAACAAGTAAATAAAAATTCACAAATAAGATGACAAATAAAACGAAAAAAATTCAAGGAGAGAAAAAAAACTTTGGGATGTGAAAAGAAGAGAAATTACGAGATAAGAAAACTCACAAGCATCAATTGTACGAGCATCTCGAGCATATCTGGGCCCAGATCCATGCTCGGAGCATTCGTGAAGTTCTCGTGAATGTATCGGAAAGTGCCGGCAGCCCTCAGAAAGGCATCGATCGCCTGGTCGAGTCCTCGGGCGGTCAGACGATCCTGTTTGGCCGCCAATTGCGTGTAAAGCGCGCCGGCGTTGAACAGAATCGAGGCCTTTTCGAAGGCGACCGTTCGCTGGCAACTCGGCACACCCGTGAGCGAATCGAACCATTCGAAATAAATCCCGAGACTTCTGTCGGGTGGAAAGAAACGCCTCTCTATGAAATAGAGCTGGTTGTAGTAACGCAGGAGCAGCGCGATTCCGGCCGAGTCTCTGGTCGGCGTCCTCGTGGCCTGTCAATTGAAATTAACACACATTAGACAACAAAAAATTTCATTTTTGTTTTCGTAAATTTATAATTCGAAAGATCTGCCTACCTGTCTGGTTTCCATCAAATCGGCGATAGCTTCTTCGTAGTTTTCGCCATCCTCGCTGTAGTGTTCCAAAATAAAATCCTACAAGAGATACAAAACAATCGTTTAGGCGGTCCGATCGATAAATAATTCGCGACACGCGTGGAATCGCAAGCACGTGGCGGAATCGCCGGCACGTGACTGACAATGTTAAATCGATATCTTCGCGGCGACTGCGCGAATTGTTTACCACTAGAAACGCGTTCGCACGTTTCTTTTTGCGACAATTGCAATTTTTTTTTCTCCTCCAATTTCGATTGATTTCCGCGCCCGAATTACGTCACGAATAGAAACATGGTGAAAATCACTTTCGAATTAATACGAAAACGCTCGGAGCACAACGACGGCGAGATATCGACGTTGGAGGAGATAGCCTTGCATCAAGAGAACATCGATAAAATCGAGGTGATAGACAGGCACTGCAGGCATCTCAAGATCCTCCTGTTGCAGAATAATCTCATATCCAAGATAGAGAATCTCAATATGCTGAAGAGGCTGGAGTACTTGAACTTAGCCCTCAACAACATTGAGGTTATTGAGAACCTGGAGGGTTTGGAAAGCCTGAAGAAATTAGATCTCACCGTCAATTTTATCGGAGATCTACAGAGTGTAAAGACGCTCAGGTATTTGATTTTTTTTTTTTTTTTTTTTGAACACTTAGATATCGTCTCATTTTTTTTTTTTTTTAGACAAAACTATAAAATTTTATATATAACTCCAAGCGAGTGTGCAATCTCTCTCAGGTGCAACGAGAATCTGGAGCAGTTGATTCTCATGGGAAATCCCTGCACCGATTACGAGTACTACAGGGAGTACGTCGTGGCGACTCTGCCGCAACTGCGAGAGCTCGATATGCGAGAGATCGAGAGGTCGGAGCGCATAACGGCGTTGCAGATTTGCGCGAGAGCGCGGGACGACGTTGCGGAGGGTTTTCGACGCTACGAGAGGACCAGAGCGGCTGAGCGGAGTCGTCGCGTCGCCGCTCTTGAAACGGATCGGACTGTGAGTTTTTCTCCGACATACGTCAGTCCGTCATTCAAATTTCCTGAAGTAGCAATTTGTGACACGTAATAGAGACCAAGACAAGAGACAATTATTTGTTAAATAATTATCCAAATGTCTAATAATTAACGCAAAAAATTTAAGATACGCGACGGACGTTTGATCTACATATACAAGGTCGCGAATTAACATAGCGCTCTCAGAAGTATTTAATTTAAATTGCGCAACACACAGGAGATCGCAAAACATTTTATAATTACACGTGTTTTTTGTAACACAGACTTTATCAAACGGGATCTGTATAGTCCGTGGATTGCGTAAGCGTTTTTTTTTTTTTTTTATCTTGTTCGAGCGTAAAGATGACACACGTATTGATGTCTCTCTTCTAGACCATCGTGGAAGAGGAACGTGATACGAGGCGGGATGACGAATCGGAAAACGAAAGTTTCTGGAAACAGTCGAGTTATCACACGCCGGAAGATAGGATCGCTATCGCCGAGAGGTCCATTAGGACGCAGGAGAGGAAAAATCGCTCGCTCAATGAGAACGATTGTCCGAAGCGCGCGATAAAGCTGTTCGCTCCGGATGGAAGACCTTACAACATAAATCAGGCGAAAGTGCCGTTCAGACTGAACGACGAAGACGATCCCGACAACGTCGTTCTCGACGTTTCTGTTTACAGGTGATTTGACACAACTTTGACACCGGCGTTTAGCAACGTTGTAATAATATTTTCGCGCGACAAAAGCGACGAGCCGTGGGAAAATGATGTTTTAGTAATACGCTTTTGCGTGCGAATCTTGCGAAAACTCAATCAGATCAAGGAATTGCTTTGTCACATTTATTGTATCACGTCTCGACAAAAAAAAAAAGAAAAAAGTGTCGTTACACAGTTTCGCGCGTCTGAATTCGCGCGAGAAATCTTGAAAGTGTTCAAAAACAATTCAATTCTACGAAACGTAAATTGTGCCAAGTTTTCGAATCTTTGCAGGCACTTGGACACTTCTTACATCGACGTCGACGTGAACCCGACTTACGTGCGAGTTACCATAAAAGGAAAGATTCTGCAGTTAACGCTGCCCTGCGAGGTGTCGGTCGAGAGGAGCAACGTACGACGGAACACGACGACGGGACACCTGGTGATCGGTATGGCGCGTCTGACTCCGTGCACGGCGATCGTAAGAAAGAACGAATCAACGACGAGAGAAAAGAAACGATCCAAAACGACGAAGGTCGTTACGATTCAACCACCTGTGACTTCGAGACGGGCTCTCCTGGAGATCGGCCCGCCTACCGATATCCACGACTTTCTGAAGGTGACGAAAGATTCTGCTAAACAAATTCCAAACAAGTCAGCGAAGAAAGAAGAAGACGAAGAAGACAATTACGAGGACAATCCGGATGTGCCGCCGCTCGAATGAACGAAAACAGAGTAACCGAGACTAATGTATAAAACATCACGTGCGCGCGACATGACAATCCCCTGAAAACAAAAACAAAAAAAAAACAAGAAAAACCCCCCACTTCTTATTCGCGTCCCATCGATTCCACACTCACCTTGAACGGATCCCGAAAGTCGATGTCTTTGGTCTCCTTCAGTCCCAGTGGTATCATCGGCATAACGGGCTCGTCGCTGAAACCGAGAATACCGTTCGATTGCAATACCGTACATACATATCCCGAGAGAGAGAGAGAGAGAGAGAGAGCTCATAATTCTCAGCTCGTATAACTCACCCATCGACATTCTGATACAGCTCAACCGAGCTGTTGAGCTCGGCGAGCTGTTCCTTCAACAGCTGTAGATTCGAATTGACGAAGCTCAGCTCGAGAGCGACCGTTTCCTTCAGTTTTCTGTTCGTTGTCGCCCTGTAACAATTTGAATCGTGATGTAATCGCTGCGATTTGTTTCATCAGCAAATTTTCAAACCTCGATTCCGTTAATATACTCGCAACTTGACGCGTTTAATTTTCGACAACGCGACAATGTCGACAGGTTGAATTAATTAATTGAAAAAGAAATCAATTTTCGAATATTTGCAACGATTGCGCGCGCGCATCGCTGTAAAAAAATTTGCGCGCGCGCGCGGCAAATTGAACGAGGCAAAAAAGCGTATCGGTGCGTAAAAAAGAAGAGAAGTAACGCTTACTTGTAGAGATTTTCCGCGCCCGCGCGCAGCCGCAACTCCTTGTTGATCTCCTGATTGAGCTTACTGCGCTTGTTCTGCAGTTTTCCTCTGCAGGTCGCTACCCTCGGATCCGAACCCTGCGAAGCATGAAACGCATAGTTAGCCGATGCCTCCGACGCATACATATCGTACACACATGCGCAACGGCCGCGGTGTAATCACATAATCCGCAAGGATTGCCGTAACCGATAAAGCCCAGTTCCGCTAACCACATTGATCAACCGACGTTGATTATCCGTCCCCGGCTGTTGGAGCGGGGATTCGTGATTCGGGTCGGGTAATAAAGGTGGAAAATCAACGATCAAAGCGATTTTTTTTTTCTCGTTAGCCGCACGCTCCGAAACGTGCGCGCGATGAAAATCTCGCGCACATGTCCCCCCGCGCGAGAAAGGCTGTTTTCTTTCTATCGACGATGTCTCGCGCGTAGAGAGAGCGTACGCAAAATGCCATTATCGATAACTCGTCGATGATAACGACATTTATAACCATTAAAAAAAAAAAAAAAAAAATACGAAAAACATAAAAGGAGAAAACCGTTCGATTCTAAAATCTAAATGTTTGTTTAAGGTCATCGCGCGAGGTGGATATTTTACGTCATCGTGATGATGGAAGACAACGCGAGAAAAAAAAAAAAGTGTGTTATGTGCTTTCGGTCAGCGTGAACACACACGCGCGCGGAAAGCGAAGAGAATTGCGCGTCGAAAAGGATCCTCTCGCGGCCTCGAGAGACCGTCGTGCCCAGCCGACTGTTAAGCCTTCCCCGACTTCCTTTGCTCCTTACCCCGAACCGGAAGCATCTCCTCATGATAACGTCCGGCGTGGCGGTTTTCGCGTTACGCGCGCTCCGCACCGTGCCACCACCGTCCTTTCTTCTTTCGGCCGCCCTTCTCCCGTCCTTCTCGGTCTCGTCCGGGACGACGATCGCCGGCCGGTTCTTCGGCAACGGACAGTAATGCACCCACTTCAGCATGATCGCGTCCCCAAGCGGGTATCATCGGATAACGACTGTCTTCTCTCTTTCTCTCTCTCTCTCTCTCTCTTTCTATTTCGGCGAGAAGAGAGTGACGCCGATATTTTTTCTATAGCGGCCTACAGCATTTTCTTTTCTTTTCTGAGAACGCGATTTATACAGAAGAATCGCGTAACGACGATTCAAAGCGGCTTTGATCTTAAGAAACTCAAGACGTGTCCTCTGTGAAAAGAACCGATTGTCGGATACGGAAGTACAAAAAGGGAAAAGAAAGAGAAAGAGAGAGAGAGAGAGAGAGAGAGAGAAGTAGCAGACTTCTGGAGCGGCTGGTCTCTTAAACTTAATATAGCAGACTAAGTGTTCGCGTTAACCGTAATTCCGTTCTACTCTAGTTAATAAACCATCTCGCTAATGCGATAAACGCGATTTGATGGTGGCGTAACGACAGTTGGTTCAGTATCTTGTCTCTTTGAGAGTGATATGAAGTAAATCCGAAAGAGACGTGTGCGCGCGTCTTAATTTTCTCACACGCGTGTTATCCTATTCGCTAGCTCGAAATTGTCCCGCGCAAACGACGAATTTCGTGCGACGCTGCGAATCGTGTGTAAAAATTTCACAAACGTCATCAAATAGGCGTGAATCGTCGGTCGTCGCGGTTGCGCGGATTCTCCCCTTGCGTAATGAGCGTGAAAAACCGCGGCGTCGATCGTGTTCCGCGAGCGATGCAACGCGAGCGCGTTGCGTTCGACTCGCGGAGGAAAAAAAGTTACTTTTTTGTCTCGCGCGCTAAGATAACGCAATATCGTATCGTAGCGGTTTTTTCCTTTGATCAGCACGGGATTGAATTTGTCAAATTGAGACGTTTGAAATGATATAAAACTTATATCTTCATTAAAAATCTTCGTCGCGGAGAAACGACGTGAGATGTGTCTAAAATGAGAAATTTTCATTAAACGCTTCAGAAGCGATCGAAAATTACTGTCTCGCAAAAGTACTGTAATTTTTGTGCCACGCGAAGACAAGACGCGATACTTTGTCTCGAGAGAGAGAGAGAGAAAAGTAGAAGCTTTCGCGCAAATAAATATTTTAAAGAGATCGCGCACGCGAGTGTGTGCGTCAACACACACATTTGTTACGTAGAAATAACAGCGTGTGTGTTGGTAGCTCTCTAAAAATTTTATGTCTTAAACACGTAGAAAATCTTTCTCTCTCTTTTCTCGACTTTTTCTCGACGGCCTTTCATTTCAAAAACTCGAGCAACGATGTAATATCTCGCGAAGGAAAATAGGATATACAAGAGTTAACTCGGTCAGTCAGATAACGTTACGTTTACGATCGGCGCGTTTCTCGTTCCACAGGAAATTGTAACAAGTTCTTCCGCGACGTGTGTATACGTGTACGTATGTACATACATGTGTATCGACAGCTCGAACGTCAGTGTGTCATTCGCGCGAACGCCGCGTTGTACGCGTCTCTCTCATTTTTTTAAACAATTGAAAAGTATAATTTTTCGATCTTGATATATATATAATTCACAAAAATGTCTATTTTCATGATTTTTTTTTCTTTGAAATTTCACCGGAGAGAGAGAGATACAAAAATGTATCTAAAAATAAGAAACTTTCAAATTTCATACGTAAAAAGATTTTTCTACTAAATCGATATTGCATAATTTAAACAATATATAAATTTTCGCACATATCCGTTTCCTCGGATTTTCTCGGAGAAAGAATACGAATTTGACGAACGAATTTGCGACGTCGGGGAGAGACATGAGAGTTTCGGGATATGCGGCGGGTGTGTACATACGCGACTTTAACGACTTTTGCCGGATGTGTTATCGCGCGCTAAATCTACCGTAACTCGCGTTTATATTAAACCTCCTCGCATGGCCCAGTAGCCGCGGCCGGTCGCGTAACTGTTTGCCGTTTCAGGCGAATTGAAGACCAGGCCGATCGGAATCGGTATCAATGATCTAAATAGCGGCATTGGGCATTCGTGCGTAAAGAGCGGCGATCCGCCGCGAGATCGCTGAACCTCTCTCGGAGGCTAGACATTTCTGCTTCATAAAATTTAAAGATCTCCCGTGACAAAAATTTACTTACAAATATAGTTTGATCGTAAAAATAAAACCTTTAAATTAAGAGAAACAAGTTCAACAGGTTTATGTTATTAAAGAATTTCTAAATTAAGTTTGTCATTATTAAAAATATTCAAAAATAAAATTTCTAATTAATTAAATTAAATACAGCAATACTGTATATATAATTATCACGTGATTTTTATTAGTGCCGTATATTTTTATTTTTCTTTTTCAATTTGCGTGCAATTTATATAAGTTGTTGCGTGAATAATTAATTCGCAATTTCTTTGAAATCGCATCACTCATTTTACCAAGACGCAATGCCATCACGTGTGTAACTTATGGCACATTACGTAACCACCACCCATGCTTGAATACGTGGGTCTACGCGCGCAGAGAGAAACGCCCCGATGTGTTTCTAATTTGTGAGCGTTCTTGATTTATGCGACCTCGATGGGCGGCCTTGTTGAACAAATTTGCGACAGAGACGTGTGGATGTTAAGTCGCGTTGCTTTGCATACAATCGCCGTGTATTATAATAATTAATACGCACCGCGCACACGTCAATCGTCACGAGAAAAATAATATCACACACACACACATCTTAGCGGCAGTTTGAACGTATCAACTTGTACAATACACACAGCCGTTGCTAATTATTATTATTAAGCACATCTATCGGCAACAAGATACATTTTAAACTGCGAATTATGTCATTCTTTAGCTAGCAAATCACGTCTCAAACGACATTCACGGTATTTAAGCGTAACAACCACCGTAATAATTTTTTAACGGAATCGCAGATCAACGTAGCGTTTTCGGCAATTTAACGCGCGTCTATCACATGTGGGAAAATAAAACAATATACGTACGAAGAAATTGTGCAGAAAGAGTTTACCGTAAGTAATTTTGCTATTGCTACGCCGCCGTCGCGATTAATTGAACGCGCAAGTTCCGCGGCGAACTCTCTTCCGCGGAATTTTTTTTTTTTTTTTTTAGTTTTGCCGCGCGACTATATCGACAATCCCTTCTCGGTGGCACCGGCCACCGTCGTATCTTCCCGGCGACTAATCGCGAGAGGAGAGGTCGCCGGAATATGGGTCCCGCGGACGCGCTCCGGTGAAAGGAGAGAAACTTCGTAAATAATATAGTGGGGAGGATGTAAAACAACCGAGACTTTTTTTTCTCTTTCTCTCTCTCTCTCTCTTTCTCTCCGTCTCGCCGCAATTCTCGTACGCGCGCGTATGTAATGTGCGCGTACCTACATACGCGCTTACTTTTTTTTTTTTTTTTTACGCGCGATGAAAAGCCGTAAAAGCGGTCTCCGCCGCGATAGGCGGTACCGAGCCTCTCCTCTCGATCGTATATAAAACTTATTAGTCATCGAATGTACTTCAGCGACGAGGTTTCCACACGGTCGATAACCCGCATTTGTGTCGCGCTCGTGTCTCTCTGACACGAGAGCTCGCTTAATGCGATTTTAAAATATATCCGTTTTCGAATCTCTCTCTCTCTCTCTCTGGGAGCTTTGCGCTCAACGTCGAGAGTCGGGTTAGGTACGAGCTGGCACGAGCTCAGCCCGTTCGTTGTAAAAACAAAAAAAAAAACTTAAGAATAATTAATGCAACAAACTAAGTAATACCGGTCTTGTAATTAACGGCAATACAACTCGATCATTAATTTTATTCGGATACTTTGATTCGGATAATTTGAAAGGATATAATTTATACGATTCTCGTAATCGGAAAGAGAATCGTTGAGATTGCCAGTGATGACGACGAACGTTTAGATAGTTGAAAAAAATCGCGAGGGGAAAAAAACCGGACGGGATTCACGATCCCGTCTTTGTGGTCCAGGGTACGCGAAGCGGGAGGATACGAACGAACGAACGAACGAACGAACGCCGCGAGAGAAGAACGAGAGAGCTCGATAACGGTATTATCCGCGAACGATCCCCACCCTTCTGCCGAACGTCGTATAGACATAGTCGAACGGATCCCGAACAAGACGAACGGGAAATGAGATGCGTTCGCATTTTTCGCGGCCTCGTAAACGCGCGCACCTGTCGCCAACGCGACGTGCTAATGAACGATTAATACATAGCAATTTCCAGGTTTGCATTTTTATCTCCCCCGTCCCGGCTAAATCCCATTTTTGTCCCACTCGATGCGGGCTACCGTGCAACACACACACACACATATCCCGGTAATGTATATACGTTTAACGACAAAATTATCACATTGGACAATCGGTAAATTGTCTTGCTTGAAAAACGTTACGGGAGAGATACGCGATGTGTGTCAATGGCCACACGAGAGAGATGAATATAATTAAAATTTACGAAACCGCGCGAAATGAGAGGAATTTAAAACAAAATTGTACCGTAGTATTTATGTCTCAGTCCGTTGTGTTGAATAATTGCGCGGAAATGTAACATCCAACGAAATTAACTCTATGTGGACAGACTGGGGTCTCCCAGACCCAACCAACAAATTTCAAATCATGTCTCTCTGATAAAAATTAGTTTTTTTTATCGCTTTTATCTTCGAAAATACTAGAAGTTTTAAAAATTTTTTTTTATCGACGCAGAATCGAACTTTTAATTTAAAAACAAATTGAAAACCTATATTGATTTTTTGCGGAGATATTCGATTTTAAAGTCGCGTGGGTCTCACAGACCCAGTCTGTCCCAGTAGGCGTTTTTAGAGTCTGTCCACGAAAGATTTATTTATTTGACAACAAATTAATATTGTCTTTTCACATCAACCGGGAAGAGACTACAAAGTGTTTCTCTTAGAAGAGATTCGAGATATGTTATAGAAAGAAAAAAAAAAACAAAAGTTCGCGCATAGTTTTGATGCCACGCGTATATAGGGGAAAGTCGCGAAAGCGATCGAGCATGATCGAGCGCGATGTGTGTCTCGCGCACACGTTAAAATCCTCGATTTTCCCGCAACAAAGTCCCGCGAAGGTAGCGTAACGTCGGAGCCAGATTCCATAGCTGTGTGTATAGAATTTTTCTTTCGCGTCGTCGCGTGCAGCTGAACACATAACTATATACTTTTACCGCCGTATATAACGTTTATACGACGGGAATGTCTAATTGCGCGCGCGCGCGTATCCGATTGGGACCCACTTT